TGAGATTTTGATGTAGAATGTTAATAAAATTTTGTTAAACGAAATATAAAATTGAATTAGATTATATTGAAAATATTTCAAGGACCATTAGTTTTAAAATGTCTTTCTTAATTTAGTTATTGAAAAATTTCTAGACTATAAATGATTGAAAATATTTAATTGTCGAATTTAAATATCCATTATGACAAATTCATTGATCAATTAGTTATAATATCACATGAGATACTATCATTAAATCTTTTTATAAATGTATATCTATAGTGAAGTCTTCTCTTTTTTGCATATCGAATATCATTATCAATTATAAATTTCAACTTTAATTAATGTTCTCTTTTTGTAAATTTTATTCCTATCAAATACAATTAAATAGAATTTTTTCTTCCTATCATCTGCAGTGAGCATTCCTTTATTTGGTTTATTCATTTTAAAACAACCCGTCAATCTATGTTTTTTTTCTAGTCTAAAACAAAAAATTGAATCAAGCATACCATTATAACAATTTTTTTTTCCATTAAACCTTTAGTGAATATACTCAGCGTAGGTATTCTGCTATGAATATGTCACCAAAACTTTTGAGTACTTTATAGGTTTTTAGCATTTGATTATAAAGTGTTTCTAAATATTCAATCTACTGATTTCTTGAAAAATTTTTCAATAGAATGCTGTAGAAACTAGACAGGTATTTAGTAAGTACCCATGTACCTAAGCATGATACCCAAACAAGATGTTGTGACATATTAGTAACAGGTAGAGACCTGCGAAGTCCAACTTTCTTAACTCCGACTTCTAAAACTTTTCTTCCCATACGTTAGTGACAGTTTACATGTTCTAAGATAATCTGTAATTAAAGATTAATGTACTATCATGAATTATAACTAATTCTCTCACTATTAATTCAACTCGAAAACAAATTTAAGTTTGTTTCATTATTACGAAGAATTATGCATTTACAAAATTTTTTCTTTCACCGAAATTATTACCATCATTACTAAATCCATCTAAAGTCTTTCGTATCATGTTCAGCAACTTCTTCAAATATTTTCATCATATAATTAAATTAAAAATCAATTTTTTTTTAAACCAAAAAAAGTTTTATTATCTGTTCTTTATTTTCGCTGGAATATTGATTATAGTAAAGCGAAATTATTTAAATTTATATATCAAAATATTTCTATATAAAAGGAAAAAAAGATATGTTCATTCTCGTGCAAATCGACTATCGAATGCACTGAGTGCAATACCAAAAGCTTGAATAGCTGAAAGTGGATAACGATAATCTAATATAAACGTATCATCTTTAGCACGACCAAATTGCATAACAACTTCTTCTTGAACTATACATATACAACAAAAAAAATAAATTATGAATAGATTTAATGAAGTATATAAATATCTAACTTACAATTTTCAGTGTCTATAATCATTTGAAAATTTTTAACTGATGTTTGAATATCATGTTGACCAATAAATTCAAGTGTATGACCTTTTTTTCCTTGATTAATAGTAAAGAAAAGAAAAATAATAAATTAAACATAAAATTCAAAAAAAAAAGTAAGATTTTATTTTACCATCATTTGATTTTGGTGATCGATTTCGTAATTGAATTAAATACGTAAATCGTCTATCTCGCCATTGATCAAGAATTGTATCCTCATCCTAAGATTTGTACAAGAAAATTTCTATTGTATGAAGAATTTTATATAGTTTACTTTTGTTGGCTGAATATCATAGCCGATTTGAGGTATGACAGCATTGATTTGTCGTGGACCTTTGAAACCAAGAACATTTGTATTCTAGAAAACGAATATTAATCAATATTACGTTATTACATTAGAATTTCGTTTTTTAAAGATACTGATTAAGGTGAGTTTAGACTTTAGAGTTAAATGATGAATAATCTCTTTCAAATATTATAGAAATGTATTGAAAAGTTTCTAGATGGAATCTTTATTCATTTATTGGCTTGTTTCGCATATATTTCACAACAGTAAAAATGATGCATAAAAAGATTCGATTTTTGTGTTCTTTTAGAATACGTCACAATTTTCACGAAACTAGTTAAGAATTCTGCTTTGGATAGTCAATATACAGATGTTTGTTAATTTTTATCGATAATTTGGCTAATGTGAACATTTTATGCGAAAAACTATCGAGAAAATTCATTTAAATTTTTACAGTCGTTTTAATTTGGCCATTGATTCTCGGTACGTTTTTATTTTGACGTATAAAAAATAAAAAATCTCTTTCATCAAGCATTTGTATTCGAATTATGCTTGTTTCACTTGGTTTTAAGCAAAGAATACAATGCTCTTTAACATATTATTAAAGTTTCAGTGAACTATTATATACGTACACTATACACTCGAACACCGCAAAGAAGATTTTTGTAAGAATATGCAATGAATTTCAATTTATCTACAGTTGAATATTGAAATATAAATGATTTCAACATTAGAAGTATGTTGTCCCATAAGTTATAGTTCTTAAGAATATCTGTATAGACTGGACAGCGGCAAAGAAAAGATAGAGTTTGAAACGAATTTCTAAAATATCTTATATTATTAAAAATCAAAGTAACCATGGATATCCGTACGCCAAAAAAGGCTATATTCCAGTTGACAACAAAAAGTGCAGCCTAGAATAAGTATCTGCAGCTATTACAGGTGCCCAGTTTTGTAATCCAATAAATATATATCAATATATTTTTCACAGCGCTTCATATCTAGTCTCAGTCGAAAGTTGAACATTCTCTCACAAAACATGGCTGTTTTTCACTTCCTCATACATATATATAGTGGCAAATAAAAGTTTAGAACATCTGTATTTTTAAGTTACGTAGGATTGAAAGCTTCAGCATAAGTGCTGCGATGAGGATGTATGGAAAACCAAGATTCTCAAAACTAATTTTCGAACTTCCACTCGAAGCTTTTGAGAAAAAACTTTATTTGATAGAGCAAAATGAAATATCTCCAATCTCTTCATGACCCTTCTTCATCGAACTATATTCAATCTACAGAATGCCTCGAAGCGTCACACATGGCAAAAATATGAAAATTTTTAATTTAACAAAATGCTTCTTGAACATTCTATAAATTGAATGCAATTCGATGAAGAAAAAAAACCATTGATTCTCTGCGGACTCTTATTTAAGCAGTTTTGTTGGAGTCTTCAAGCCTAATAAAGAATCCTTTCAGCTGTACAAATATGTTTTCAGAATTTTGCTAGGTATTATTATCGAAAAGAAAATGTGAAAAAAAAACCAACTGTTCTGAACTTACGTTCACACTTTAAACGTATATCATTCCATACTTACATAAATTATAGATATTAATTCACGTCGTAAACTATTTTTATCATCTGAATGTGATTTTTTCTTTTTATTCGGACTTGTACCATTATCATAGAGTGTATATTCTGTACCTTTCAGATTATTTTCTCGTAACTTTCCAACATATCCATTACCACCTGATTTTTCATGTAGAGTTTCAATTTCAGTTGTAATTACATATTCAGATTGTTGATTTACTTTAGCTACTTTTCGTGCAGATAAGAGCAAAATCTAAAAACGAAAATGATTAAAATAATTGTTGTTGTTTTTCTTTCTCTATTTTAATTACAAACCTTTTTATCATCATGAGGACGTTCAATATGTAAATAATATGTTGGAAAAAATCCTTTTTGTATACCACTTTTATCACGTCGAAGATAACAATGTATAAACTCTGGATAATCTTGTGGAATATTTGTATAAATAAATTTATTCAAATCTTCTTCAATACATAACATTGGATCAAAACTTGTTCTTGTTGTCAGGGGAAATGACTAAATATTTAACAAAAAAAAAAAATAATAATAATAAGTTCAGAAAAATCGAAATATTTATATGAATTGAAAGAGTTTGAAAAATATTGATAATTACTGTTTTATTTTGTCCTTTATGTCGTAAGATTGAATGAGATGATGATAATGTTGATCGTATATTTAATGGTCCAGAATAAAGTGGTTGATAAAATGATGGTACTTTTCCAACTAATGGAGCTGTTTTTTTTGCACCTAATTTCTCTATATTCAATACAATACTAATTACAATAATAAAATCATTTTCCGATTGTACTTTTAGGTTTTTCTTCATTTACTATTGGATGCCAATCGAGAATCTTTGGTTCACTTCGTCGTGTTAAAGCCTTAAAATTGAATAAAAGATGAGAGAAAATATATATTTGTATTTTGAATTTACTATCGGTGTTGATGGTTTTGATAGCATCGACATATTTAGATCATATTGATTACAAATCTCGTCTTCACTATCTGAGTCGTTGATTCTTAAATAAATAAACAAAAACTAAACTTGTTCTATTCTATTCTATGTAAAATTTAAGTTAACTTACTGCCAAGGACTTGCGACGATACTACGAGGCATGCTGAAAATTCCAATAAGTTACAACAAAAATGTCAACGATATTTAACTCAGAGGCTATGTCTCAAAACTTATCTACATTATTGAAAAGAAAGAAATAGAATGAGTATGTAATGTATTGATTTTTGTTTTTGCATCAAAGATTTAATGTGAATTATTGATTTCATTTACTGAAAGTTTTAAAAGGCATATTTAAATGAAAACTCAGCGGACAAAAACGAAAAGCAAAAGCAATTCTTTTTCTGTCATCATTTGAAAAAGATCCATATTCAATTTTTTTTTATTCTCGCACTTTTTTTTCTTTACCTTTTTCAAACTTTACGGCGTATGTCAAAGATGTTCAAGTAGTTTAATGTTTACCCAAATACGCCGTTTTTTTTTTCTTTTTTCATTTAAACATCTATTGTACATATTATCATGAATAACAATATTTGATTAGTAGAAAAATTTCTTTTTAAAAAAAAACAATGAAAAGAAAAAAATAATGAAAAGAAAAAACAATGAAAAGAAAAAAACAATGAAAAGAAAAATACTTTTACAGTATTCGATTCTTTTGTTTTTGCATTTTTGTTTGAACAAAAAACTAGTTTATATTTCTATGATTGTTGAAAGTCGAAGTAGACAATGATGATGATAATAAAATTGGTCTATTTTGAATAATTGTTTGTTGAATTTGATGAGATTTTTCATTTTGTTTTAATCGTTTATCATGATTTTGATAAAGTTTATTCGATGTTGAATGTCCAAGTATTATTTTTTGTTGATTAGAAATTATTTTATCATTATTTGAAAATTTTTTTATTGAAACTAATTGTTTAAAATGAACCTTATTTTCAGTTTTAGGATTTGATATTTGATTATTACGAATAATTTCAATTTCATTAATATGTTTTTCATTTGTATTAGATGATTTTTGTTGTAGTTGATTATCGTTTGATTTTAAATAATTAACTATAGTTTTGTCATCTTCAATTGTAACATAAACTTCTGATTCATCTCGAGAAAGTAATGCACGTGATAATTGCATACATTAAAGTTCAGCTTTATGAATATCAAATAATGAATGACATTTATATTTATCTAATAGTAATTTAACTTAAAAACAGGAAGATCTGGATTAACAAGAGATATTACATGATCTTTAACATGACATATAGGAATTTTATCACCAATTAAAGTTCTTCTGAATAACATATAAACATTACAGTCAATTGTTTTTATTGGTGATCTACCTAAAATACAAAAAAAAAAAAAAAATAACAAGATATTTTTTTTCTGTTTAAAACGAACTGAAATAATTTCTTTAGTACCTCGAAGTAATTTAACATAAAGAAAAGTATTATTGTCATAATTTGAGATATAATTAAATAGATTTTGTGTAGAATGAAGATAACGTAATTCTGATGATTCTTCAGAAGCAATTGGATGTATATGCCATGGTTGTTCATTAACTTCAAGAAAAAAATAACGTTGATAAGATTCATTTTTTTTTTACACAATATAATGAATGTAAAACACGATTACGAATTAATTTCTCTTCATCAATACTAGTCACTGTAAGAAGTTCAAGAAGTAAACGTGTTTTACTTTTTGATATTATTATATAATCTTGTGATGTTCGTTCACTTTCTGTTGGTGTATATTCAATTTCACCAATGTCATGACTAACCGTCCATACATAGTGCTATTGAGTATGTTAAATGTAGTATACGAAAAACAAAAGTTACCTTAAAGTGATGACAACAAACAAATTCGGAAAAAAGAATATTTGATTAAATATGGTAAATAAAGAGATTCTATCATGACATTCTTTTTATTTCATTTAATAAAAGCTAATATATATTTGCGAACAAAGATTAAATAATTATCGTAAATGTAAATGTATGGTAGTATATATTTGACGAAAAATATGTTGATAATGATGATAAATAAGAAATATTCATTTTGTATATATATATATATATAATAAAATATATTTTACTAATCGATTATAGTTCTAATTAAGCTGTTGGAAATATAAAATCAAAGCAGAGTTTTCTTTATATATAGATAGACAGAGTGTGATGAACTGATCACGAATATATGTGTTTTCAAATGAATTTTTCGAGAGATAAAAAAAAAAGAAAGACAAATTCTACTTTGATTTTGTATTTCTGGCATCTTAAATTACAGGGAAGCTTTTATTAGTAAACACTACCAATTTTGAACAAAATTTCGGTCTTACAAAGCGTTTTTTTTTGCTAGAAATGCATCTCCTATAAGTGAACACTTACTTACTCTGAACTTGAACATTATTTTTATAATCCTGATTGCTATTTTAATCTCTTTTAAATGAACACACGTGCACCTATTTTTTTTCTCCCTCTACTCTTCATTATTGTCTTGCTAATGCACTAAAACTTTTGTTTATTATTTGTTATAATTGTATAAATCAAGCAAAGCAATGAAATCATAACATCATCTCAAATTAAATGAAAGAAATCAATTCATTACTAATAACGACGGTGATCATAACTCATCACAATATGAATTAGCTAAACAATATAATATTTCATTTGGTTTTGTATTCAATGTTTTAGAGTGAAAAACAAAAAAGAATGTTTAAATGATTACGGAAAAAAACAAAAATTCAAAAGTTTTCATGTAATACAGTTTGATGAAAAAATATATTTGAATGAATTTTGCAGCAATGTTTATCAAATTTATATATAGTGATCGATAAAAGTTTAGAGCAGTTGTATTTTTAAGCTTCTCTTCTCAATGGTAATAGCTATGAAGAATTCGAAAAAATATTTGAGTAGCTAAAAGGATTCGCTATCGGAATTTATGAACTTGAAATCTCCAATAAAACTGCTTGAATGAAAATGTCTGGAAAACTAACATCTCCACAATCAGTTTTCTGGCATCGATTTGAAATTTTTCGGAAATGATTTTATTTGATAGAGCAAAATGAAACATCTCGCCTTTCTTCATCATCTTCTTTCATTGACTTGCATTCAGTTTCTAGATGATTCCAAAGCGTCAAATACGACAAAATCATTGAAATTTTTTACGAAAATGAAAGAAAGATGTTTTTTGGATCTTCTGTAAATTGAATGCAGTTCAATAAAAGAACGTCAGAGAGAGTTAAGACATCTCATTTTGCTCTATCACATAAAATGATTTTCAAAAACACTTCAAATTAATGCTACAAAACTGATTTTGAAGATCTTGATTTTCTAGACATTCTCATCCAAGTAATTTCATTGAAGGTTGTTAGGTCTATAAATCTCCAATAGAGAATCTTTTTGGCTACGCAAATGTTCTTTCAAATTTTTCCTAACTACTACCATCGAGAAGAAAACTCAAAAGTGTAACTGTTCTAACTTTTATATCGACCACTATATAGAGATCAAAATATGAACACAGAACTTTTGTGAAACAAAGCAAAGTTTTATATTCTGTTGAAACTTTTTTTCGATTCGTCAATATTCAAATGAAGGAAGATAAATAACACAGAGAATAGTCTCTGAGGATGTGAATAAAAATAGAGTTACTATCTAATTCAAAAATAAATAAACGATTCAGAAAAAAGAAAACTTCAATGGGTAAAAACTTACTCATAAAAAGTATAATGAGAAAATTTCCAAATGAAATGGGCAATTGCCCATTTGCCCCTCCCTTGGCTACGCCACTGTAACTATCTAATGTCTCAAGAATGAACACTGATTAGATGATATTTCTTATGAAAGGATATTTTATTTTGACTTCCTAGCTTCTTTAAAAAGATTTTCAAGTGTACTTCGTATACGATCGAATAATAATTTAGCTATTTCTTCAAAATCGAAATGTAAGAAACATTGTAAATTCTTACCGATAATACTAATGCCACATCTTGATAAGCGCTTCGACACAGTATTCAAATATCTTGTCCATCATGGTGTTGTAAAGCTTTTGAATGAATATTTTCGCGAAAAAACAACCAGATATCAATGTGGATATAATATCAAGTATCGTGTAGTTGTCTGTAGCACAGCTTAGTTTAAAAAATCTGCGAATTTGTTTTTAGATGCCTACGGGAAAGGAATACTCAAAAGAAATCAAAACACTAATGTTTCGAATTATTGATTTTGTGGAGAAAGAGAAATCAGGACCTCAGATTCTACTGTAAAATGTTGATGATAGGTTGGTCGAAATGCTAGGAATTTCGAAGAGATCTGTAACGAATCTCAAGAAAGAAATGTTTGAAGCTCAGCCAGCTCTTCGTCCTCTTCGATCGTCGTCGATGTCCTCTTCTCCCGATACAACGTCAACGAATTTATCAATTCCAAAATCTCCGCAAAAGAAAGGCCACGTCGGACGGAAAAAAATTAAATTAGATAGAAGTAAGCAAGAATTTGTTCGGTAAGACAGATTTTTATGACGTAAACTGAAGTTGTACAGAAGTCTTTCATTCACGCGGGTATCATTTCCATTTGTGTTTGGCAGAAAGAATATATCCAACAACTGAACGGTTATTAGCAAGGATATTGCTGGATAGACCCGACTTTCCTATTACATCTCGTGCTACGCTTTGGAGATGGATGAAACCCTTAGGATTCCAGTATAGGCAGACGGCTAAAGTGGAGATTCCACTGGAGAGCATCTCGTTTATGGCTCAAAGAGCAAAGTATTTCCGGGAGCTGGATAGAATTCGCAATGATGGATCCTTTATTTATTACCATGATGAAACCTGGTGCAATAGTGGAGAAGAAAAAAAATTTATCTGGACAGATTCAGATACAGGAGACGGTCGTTTAAAGAAAAATGACACCCGAGGTGCGCATCTGGTGTATTCTATTAATTTAGCTGTTTATTTGAGTTCTTTTGCTTAGGAGCAAGGATAGCTATCTCTGCTTTGCTTAGCCGTAGTGGTTTCCATTCGACAGCTCAAGTTTTCAGCTGTGTAGCTGAACACTCAATGAACAGTGAAAACTTCGTTGAATGGATTTCTCGAACTTCTTCTTATTTAAGAAATGAACATGGTAACTTTGATCTTGGCATTTTCTCTCTGAATTTACCCTTGTTCAAGGTCCATCTGCAAAAATAACATTAATTATTGATAATGCTACATGGCATAACACTTTAACAGATGATAGTAAATCGCCAAAGCGAGCTTGGAATAAAGATCAACTGATTCAATGGCTCAAAGCTAGAAATATTAGCGTTCCGTTACCTTGCAGCAAAGCGGAGTTACTCGAGTATGCGTTTTCAAATGTGCCCGAACGACAATACATCGTGAATCAAGCTGCTAAGGTTTTTAATGTGAATATTCTGAGGTAAAGCTTGACTACCTTCACCGCTTTGTTCAAAATTAATCTCTTTCTAATCACTCCAGATTACCAGTCAAACATTGCAGCTTAAATCCTATTGAAATCGCTTGGTCTCACATGAAGAATTATGTGAGAGATAATAACACAAGTTTTCGTCTGAGCTTCGTCGAAACTTTGGCATCAGAATGGATGGGTGCATTAGATCCTGAAACAGCTGCTGGATATTTTCATGAAGCAGAAAAACACGAGAACGTTTTCCGAAAATCAGATGCTCGTGCAGAAGAATTAGAAAGCGAATTGATTGATGAAGATATAGAAGTAGACTCGGATTCGGACAATGATTCTGAAGATGATAATTAGCGCTATAAGTGTTACTATTGATTACCATCATGCTAAAATAAATTCGTACATTTATTAAACAAATTGCGTTTACATTTTTCAGACCTACAGAAACAGAAAATGGGAAAAGAGCGTTCTAAGCTCTATAGCTAATTTCTACAAAACAGACAGTGATATAATAATTCAAGATGACCTTGTATTTCGACCGTGAAATGATTCCTAATCTTATGGAAAACATTGCCACGCGAAACTACGCATTTCAAAACCTATCGTTTGATTATTTAAAGAACTTTAAATAACCATAATGCGAGGGTTCGACATGTTCGGAAAAACCTGAACCCTATTCGAACAGTAAGAGATAGCGATTTGATTCTTTCACAGACTTGTAGCTCTTAGTCTGGCGGTTCTAGACATAGTATTGATCAACTCCTTTTATCTTTTCTTCATGGACTGGCGACCTTGTCTTTGAAAAATAGGTGTGACTCTTCGCCTGCAGGTGGTGGGTCAGAGGTCACCAGGTATTAGTCCTATGCAGAAAAATGTCCTCTACACAATGGTAAAAACCGCAGGTCTCTAGCTGTTTCCATTCTGGAATTATTCAAAAAACAACCACGCGCACTATAATTTGAAACCGATAGTAGTAAATCAAGCGTGTTTCTCTCTTTGATTTCCATGTTATCATCAAGTTAAAATGTACTTGTGCTGTTCCGTACTTATTCTTAATTAGTATTAAATCAGCCAGTTGCATATATCTTGATTCTTTTCGATCATTTTGTCCCACCTTTTACTCCACATTTAAGCACCAAATGAATGACAACAAACTCTACAACAGAATCCAGATCTCAATAGGTCTACTACAAAGCGGAAGCCATTTATATGAAACTTTATCTCTATAATAGCAAAACAAAGGCCCACTATTGATACTACCACTGAATACACCTCTGGTATACAGATACTCTTATCTCACCAAAATGAAGGAAAGGGGATTCTAATAGCCAGATAATGTCATATACCAATGTCAGCGACGATGAATCAAAAACTAGATCCATTCTGAACTTCAATAATTCACATTCAAAGGATTAAACAAACTATTCACAATTCTCATATCGAGTTTCTATCAAAACTAAAATAAACAAAATTTTTTAAACCTATCATACCAACTGCCAACTCACAATGGAAAGATTAAAGAAAACTTTCAAATGCTACAAAACAACATAAAAAATCGTTGAACATTCGATTCTATAATCACCAAAACTATTTCGAAGGAAACGCAGAACTGAAGGAACTAAACGAAGATGTGAATACTTTCAAATACCATGTAAACTACTCGTTTCGGCCTCCAAACCTCCATTTTCGCCCTCTCAGGACACTATGAAAAACTTCTCAATCGATCCAAAACTCAACTCTGTATCCGGCACAACCATCTAGGAAAAAAAACACAGATAAGTAGGGGAATCCGGACAGAAATATCGAATCTGGTGCTAACTTTACTGACGTATTTATTTGTACGCTTTTGAATAAACTACTGCATCTAAAGACTGAGCATATGCTACATCTTTTACTACGTAGTATCACCTAGTATATGTGATATAAATGTGAGGCCTAACTTACCATGTACAAAGAAGAAATCGACAAAATTCTGTGTTCCCTTATTCATGAATC